TTGCCTTTGCTCTGTGCCACCGCTCCAGCACTTTGCGATAATTGTGGGAACCGCAAGTGGCAGGCAATCCCTTAAATTATTTGGCATTACCCTTAAGTACCCGATCAGTCAGGGCAATTCAGAGTTTGATGTCTAAGAGCTCTACACACCTGCAATTACTTAAATCCACAAAATTGCACCCATAGGTATTTGCAGGCACAAAAATGTTGGCATAAAATTAGAGGCCATTTCCTAAAACCTGTGCCTAAATTTTGATGATATACTATATGAGGGGTTGTTATTTTGAAATGGATTTGCGGAAAGCAATTGAAAATCTCCAGGCATCCCATCTGTGTTTAAAGTAACAACAATAACAAAACTTTAAATTAGCATAGGAGATTTAAGACATTTCAGGAAAACATTGATTAAATCTGCCAATGAAATGAATGTGTTTGGCGAGTGACCTAATTAGTGTATACTTGGTTCTTTTTCACTGCACTGCTTACCACTAATTGCTGTTCTGCTGGTCTTCTCCTGACAAGTAAGAAAAAACAAGGATGAGGGATTTGTTGAGGAAATAGTGACATTCAGTTTTAATTCATTTGAACCTGCTGCCAAGCTTAATTATGGAACTGAGAAACTGAGACCGGGAGGCCCCCAGCCGTTTAGGTTATAGGAGTCGGAGATGTTTAGTGTCTGCCAGTGTATTTGGGTAGTAGCACTTATTGCAGCTAGCTGTAAACTTGCGCTTGCTGATGCTTTAGCTGTTTTCTTTCCCCCACAGGTACAAAACCACTGGGTTTATTCCTTAAATTTAATTATTTCGCTCTAATGGCGTCAGGCCAAAACAAAATTGCAGCCATTTTATTTCTTAGAGGAAAGGTTTAGCAATTAATCTAGGTAGCCTTGTCTTGGGGTTTGTCTGTGTGTGTGTTTGCATGTACAAACTGGTGACATGTCATCCTACAAAAAACCTTGGGATCCTGGAATACTTGTTGTAGCATTGGAGTGCCAAAGTCACCCTCAGTGTAAGTGCACTTGAGCTGAGGGGCTCGCGTTAGTGATAAATTCAAGTCCCATGTCTCAAAGCAGCAGGGGATAACGCAGCTTTCCCTGTTTGCATTTGGAGCTCTTAAAGGAAAAGGGCAGGATGCTTCATGAAAAAAAAGGGGAAATAGTTTTGGTTTTGGTTTCCTGTGGTGGTGATGGATTCTTGTGAGCAGAGTCTGAAGGTCCCGGTTTAGAATCCGAGTGCGTTTTTCATGATGTTCTGCAGAAAAACTGGGAGGGGGGGAAGCAAAAAAAAAGCTGTGGAATTTGAGGCTAGCAGAGGGTGGGGCTGGTGGGGCTTACACTTGTTTTTAAAAGAGAAAAAGAAATGTAGACGTTTTCTTAGAACAGCAGCGTCCGATTGGCAGAGCCTGGTCTGAATCCTTCACGGTGGATGCTTCCAGCCAGCCTGCTGCCTTTTCCCAGGAGGAGCCAGGGAATAGGCACCCACCCAAGCAGGGATGGGTGCCCGAGCAGCTGAACCTGCCCGAGCTGTCCCTACCAGGGGAGCCGCAGCAGCCCAGCGGGGCCGGAGGGGAGCACAGCCTACGCCCGCTCCAGCCACAGCCTGGCCAGGAGGGAAGGGCTCTCAGCACAGGGAGTTTCAGGGTTCATTTATGCCACAGGGAGAGCTGGAGGGGATGTTTCAAGACCCAGCTTTAGCTTCTGTGGGGACTAAACTTGACCTACCCTGTAAAGTATATAAAACAAAACAAAAAAACCCCAAACAAGCAAACCCCCCCAAAAACCAAATAAAAAAGCAAGCGCTACTTTGTCAGTGCCCGAGACCAAAAAAATGAAGTGAGATTATAAACAAATGAAATATGTTAGTGTAGGTCACCAGCATAGGCTATAAACATCTACATGGAAGAACGTAAACTGTACAAAAAGGCAGCATGCCTGGTTTTCTGTTATATAGCATTGCAGGGTTCCTGTAAGGATACTTGAATGCTGAAACAGCCTGGGAACTTGGCTTCCCTTGCGGCAGATTGATGTTCTTTGGACGGATTTTCAGCCATGGAGTGATTTTGTCCTGATGTTCTGTGTGTGGTGGAGAGATGTGTCGGGAGGGGGGAGGGCCAAAAAAAGATACTTGGAATGAAAATGAACTTGAGGGAAGGAAAAAGAGCAGCTTTGCAGTGAGGCTGGGAGTAGTAATACTAGAATGCATAACGGGCAGCTACAGATGCAAGGCTTTTTTGTCTCGAGACTCTCACTGGATCTCTGATACGGTTATATAGCCCCTTGTGCCCATTGAATAAATGTTTAGAAGATATTCATGGGATATTATGAATGGATGTTGATCTTCAATAATTTACTATGTTAGATATACCTGACCTCTGTGCTACAACAGCGGAATATTCTTACATGTTCCGGTTTATATTTACAAGCAATACTAACTTAGATGTGAATACTTATCGTGCTGTCTAGAAAGTCATACTAAAAATCATTTCCCTTCTATTACTGCATACACGAATCCTGCACTGTACACTGACGATAAATACAAAAATCTGTTCTCCTTTTTTAATGCCAATGTTAAAACTTATTTTTGCACTTTCACCTCCTAGTTTTTGGGCATGAACATGGTGAGAAATAAAAAGAAATTTAGTCTCCTGAGAAGAGCACCTTGCTATCCTAAAAAATAGTTTTCTGTGTGTTTGAGCCAAGCCATCCCATGACTTCCCAAGGCATTTCAGGTTTCCCACTTGGCAGCTCTGGCTTCTCATCAGGATGTCTCATCTAGCAAGATGGAAGCTGCATCTAATTGTATCTCTTCCTTCCTCCCAGAAGCTGCTCTCCCAAAGCGCAAAGGCATTGGAGAAATCCAGGGAGGAATCTTGCTCTCTTGTAGCATGTTTTTTGGTTCAGAGCAGCATCAGCTTCACTGACTTCTGCAGTGAAGAGAGCGCTTGGGTAACACTGCAAAGCAAAATGTGATGTAGAACAAGCTGCTTTAAAAATGGCATGCTCAGTAGCAATAAAAAGGGAAAATCAAATAGTGGAATCTGAGCAGGTAAAGCATCCCCCCACCTCCCCAAGTTGACCAAACTCCAGTGCACTTCTTCATGGTGGTGCTTATTAGATCTGCTGTCCCAGTGTACAGTTGTTCTAGGCTTTCCCTCAGTTTGAAGTAATGCCCTACCAAAAAATTCACCCCAAACCAACAAAACCCAAAAAAAAACTGGGGGAAGAAAAGAACAGAAAGGCTCAGGTCTTGACTTTGTTATCAAAATAGTGCTTTTTGTACTCTTTAAGTCAGTCAGCACTTCAATTTTGGCTGCTTCTTTTTTCTTGTTTCTTTTTCATTTTCTTAAAACTTTGCGACTGAGATTTAAGCCAAGAAAAAAAGTCCACGTGCACAAAATTCTTTCATTATTGGACTAACCCCTGCATCAAGTAGTGCATATACCAAAAGAATAATAAAGAGATGTTTATAACTCGGGGGGCAAGGTGATCACAAGCTCTAATACCTAGATTTGGTGCAGAGAGGAAGGCATAAGGCCTCCCAGTGAGCAGGAAAAAAGGCTGGCAAAAGAAATAAATAAAAATGGATACGGCAGGAAAGCAAATATGTGGTTGCCTCCTGTATGATGAGTATTGACCTAGTAAATGGAGATGTCTGCAAAGGAGCTGCTATGCTGTAAATATGCTTGTGCTAATATTATTAAAGCTTTCAGGCGGTTTAGTTTCGTCCGTACGGCTTCCCGGGGAGATGCCAAAGAGGTGGCCCCTGGCCACAGCTTGTCCGAGCAGCACATGCCTACCTGCCCTGTAATTGCTTAATAAGATGTAGGCTGGGGTTTGCGTGGGTGGATTCTGAAATATATGCAGCTGCCTCAGTAGGTGCTTGGTGAGACTTTTGAATCTTCATAACTGTTGAAATGTTCATGAGCAAGACATTTGAATGCTGTTGGAGATCAGAGATTAGCTCAGTGCTCAGAAGTTGTGAAAAGTCCATTCCCTGTCCTCTTTGCCCTCCTTTGTATCATTAGGAAAATAAAAATACTTCCAGAGTTGTTGATATCCAGTAGGGGCTTAACAGCACTGGTCTTGCTTCACCACACCAGTCTTGCTGGTTAAAGAAAGAAAAAATGGAGAGGGAAGAAGAGAAGATAGGAAGTGACTGGCTGATTAATAAATTAAAGTAATGCAAATACTGGGAGTAGGAAAGCCACTTGAAAGCAGATGATTATCCCTTGCCAATCCCTAAGATCTAACCTCACTAAGCTGCTGTTCAGATGACACCCTGAAGCGGTTCCTGGTAGGGACCTGGCCCTTGTTCCAGCAGAGAGAGCAGTGAGATGAAAGGGATGTGGTCTACCCAGGCTGCGACTTTATTATCTTACCATCTTCTAGAGCTATCTGGCAGTCACTGGTAGAGCGCAGGTTGCAATTTCTCCCTTAATTGCTCCCACCTGCTGGAAGACGGTGCTCCCTGCCCCTACACAGATGGCCCCAGCCTGCCGCAGAGACCCACTGCCCTCCTCTTCTGAAGCTTAATCCTCATACGGGTTCAAGGGACAGGGAAAGGGTGTTGTTCTCTCACGAAACTAGCCATTGCAAGCTGTAGCTTTGTATCCCAGGGAGGACCATACTGCTGCCTCCTCTTATGGAAGAGATGGGGCAGGACTCCAGAGCACCAGAGACCCACGAGCGTGTGCCCTCCTGCCGCCAGGGGCCTTTTTATCTGTTAGGACAGGCAAAGAGCTGCCTTCTCTCCCCCTCTGCTGCATACCTTTCAGCACTTCAAAGCTTCAGGTCATTGCATTTCCTTAAACCCCACTAGGTTCAGGAGGAAAGGTGTGAGAAATAGAGGTACGATGGCTGGTGATGGTGGCAGTGCTACTGGAAGACTATGAGACAACATAAGAAAATGGAAAGGGTTTCCTTCTTTATAAAAATAAGATCTTGATCTGTGCACATACACATGGATAATAATGAAAATATCTATTTATCTGTTTATTTTTCAGGTTACGGTTTTGTAGATTTTGACAGTCCGGCAGCAGCACAGAAAGCAGTAGCATCTCTCAAAGCAAATGGCGTGCAGGCACAGATGGCAAAGGTAAGAGCAACCATGTCATTACAGGATTATCTGAGCTGTTGGGTTAAATTTCCAAGAGTTTGTTTTGCTCCTGTTTTTCTTAAGGTTTTGGATTGCTTATTCCAATGTTTTTTTCATCCTTTGGCTCCAGCGCCTTATTCATCCTGTGGTTTGTGTGTTCTTGAGAGCTGCACCTCATGCAATGGGCTCTGCTCTGATTCTCTCTGCCCCTCTCTCTGGAGAGGGTTGTGAGATGGAGAGGGCTGGAGTGGCAGCACAGTTGGAAATGCTTTTGTGCTGATTGCGATGTGAAAGAGTTGCCTTTTCTTCACCGCGGAGTTGTCTTCATTTGGTTCTTTTGCTCTTGGAATAGTTACTCTTTTCTGACATGCCTGGTGGGCTTCTCTGAAGGAGTGATTGACTGAACATAGGGGAAGTTTGTTTGATCTGCCTCCGTTTGGCTTCTCCTGTCTTTTTATTTTGAGGACGTAAATGGAAGTGTAGCAGGTTGCTGAAAGAACAGTTGCTGGAGGTTGTCTGGAGGTGACCGGTGCCTGTTGTTCAGCGAGGCTGCAGGAGCCCTGCTGTACAGCTGGTAGCAGGCGCAGTGAGCTCAGATACTCGGGTCCTGGAATTGTCCTTTGTCCCCAGGCAAAGGGGCTGGCGGGGAGACGGGGGTTATAGTAAGTGACTGTCATGTGCTCCGGCTGTTGCCTTTCTGAAGGCATAATCGTGTGTCTTTGGGCTCTAGACTGTGTCGACCAGCAAAAATAGCTGTTGCTTTGTACTTCAAAAATGCCTTGCCCCAAAATCACAGAAAGCCCTTAATATTGCCTCATTTAGTCTCCAGAAATGATGCCTGGAATCTCAAACAGTAAAAATAAACAGGTAATTACAAAATCAGTGGCAAATCAACTACTAAACAATCACCACATCTGAAGATTCCCATTTAAAGGAATGCTGGTGATTTAAAGCCTTGTTTTTCAACAATATCATACTAAAAACGTGCATTTTTTTTTATCAAAAAAAAAAAAAAAAATCCGTGGTGGTAAATGAGGTTCTTTTGTCTTCTACTGAATTACACTCACTGTGCCTTAAAATAACTGGATATCATCCGTGTATTTGTTTAACAGTGCCCCACAATGCAAGCTATGCTGGTTTATTGGCTCTTAGTTTTTATTGACATGTGGCAATAAAACACGCTTGCTTCAAATGGGTAAAAGATGGCAAGCTGAAGAATGTGAACACCTACTAAGGACTGTGCTATTTTATTTCTCAGACATACTGGGTCTCCTTGTTAAAATATAGATAATTTGACGCATTAGTCAAGCTGTGAAAAAGAAACCAAAGACAGAGGATATGTTTTGTCCTACTGGTTGATATCAAATAGCCCTTTCTGGGGAGGAGAAAATCTCTAACTACGTAAATCTGCAAAGTTGTAGATTTAAAATTAGAGATTTAAAGATAGGGTTGAAAGGTAAATAAGTTTGGCAGTCTCATGGTTCAGAACAATGAACAATTTCAGCACTTGCATGCATGGAAGTACCAAAACGGAAGTTGACTTCAAATACTGTGTTGGATTGCCAAGTATTTTGGGGGCTAAAAGCAAAGTCTGATGCTTTCAGAGTGGGAAGGGATGTACCAGCCACTGAGGTTTGTTTTCTGGGGGATCTGTGGCGGGAGCAGTTTTGTGCCCTGTATGATTTTGAGGCAGCTGGTGTGTACACATTTGTTTGCATAAGCCTGACTGTATTTTTCTTATTTAGCCATGGTGCCTGGAATCCCAGATAGGTCCTTTTTAGCGTGTTTGATAGTTCAAGATAAATATACAACTGACTTTTCCTATCTCTGAAAAAAATCAAAGTATTTAGAAAAACAGGGATTCAGACGAAATTGAGACGACTCTACACAAAGTACCTCACACTGCTGAGAAGGCAGGAGCCTGGGAAAGCGAATCTATCTGGAGAAACATGTTAATTCTTGCACATGTTGGAAGCCAAGTTGCATAACAGGACTGAAAGACAACGTTACCTGCCAGTGTCTGAATTAACAGTAAGGGCTCAGAAGAGGCTTGAAGAAAGAAGCAGCAGAAGAATTTAGCCTCCAATTCTGGAAGTTTATCCAGGGCAGTTTTGTTTCAAGAACTGCTTTAATTAGTGGTAAATGGTGGCTATCAAATGAAATCAAACAAAAAGAGTAAGTGAAAAAATGACCTAAACCTTTTGCATGCCATACCTTTAAAAAATACAGTCAGCGTCCTCTATCTTTTGTTCTGCATTGCAAAGCAGTGAAACTGCCCCGTGTAGAGGCCCAGGAGAAGACTGTAACCTGTGTTCAGGGGATGTCAAAAATCTCATTCCAGTAATGGATGCTTTTGAATAAAGGTGAAAGAGGCATCGGCCAGCTTTTGCTATGCGCTGGCCTTCTCTGGTAGTGAGAGAAAGTGTGCTGAAGTGTCGGTGTAGTCTGTGATGTTTTCCTGGAGAGAAGTCTTGCTCGGAAAGAGAAGTTCTTTCTCAGTTCTAACACAATATAATTTTTCTCATAGAAATCCAGGAATCTTCTTTGGAAAACAAAAAGCAGAACTAAACCCCCACCCGTGTTGGCTAGCAGAAGTATCTTGTGGATACTTGAGTAAAATATACTCATTTTATCGATGCTTAAATACAGCCACCTCCCTCATTTTTATAGCATTTGGACACCTTTTTGGCTGATTTTGGTTGAGAGTGCTGCCTCTGGAAGAAGGTTAAACTCTGGTGGATCGATGCTCCAACTCCCATCACTGTTGGAAAACTTGTTCTGTTGAGGCTTATACACCCTGAAATCCTACGCAGGGAAAAACATCATTAAACGTGTCTGAATCTCTCTTTTTGTTCTCTTGGATGCTGTTCAGCCTGGTGCAAAGCAAACAGGAGAGGATTCGGCTGAGGGATAGGAACAGCAGTATTATGCCTGCAGAGGTAGTGGTGGTCTCATGGGCCCCTGGATGGCTGCCCTCTTGGTGGGACAAGGACCCTCACAGTCTCCCACCCACCTGAGATCTGCGTGAGGCTCTTGTACATGCGTATGTTGTCACCTTGCCTCTTTAGCATTTCCCTCACACAGGTACCCGAAGCAGAAGTTTTCACTACTGCCACTGTCCTGCATCCAACTAAGTTTGTCTAAGTTGTCCATCATTTTCAAAAGTGCTTATTAACAGTTTCATTTATTGAGAAGAGTTAATGCTATGGAGCTGCTGAGTGATGGTTTCTCAGCTGGTCTGGCTTATTTTACTATGGGCCTGGCTTATTTTACTGTGTGCTTCCTGCTTGCCTTTGGAAATAACTCCGACGTGCAGATTTGTCTGGAGTGCCTGCATGTCCAGGCTTGTAGAGTCCAGGTGGTTTTTTTGTTTCTCTTTTCCTACTAAAACCAGCACAACTGATATGCCACTGGATAATCTCACAGGAATTATTGATTTGTTTGTCTCTTTGTGCTAGGGACTACACAAACACGACACAGAAAAGACAATACTTATGTGCATGGTTTATGTATCAGTTTGGGTTTCTCCATCTGCTCCTTTCCTGCATTGTCTAGAAAAATGTTAGAGACAGAACATGGAAAATTAATAAGGAGAATCTTAGTAATATGGGAGTTGGCTCAGACAAGTAGGCAAGGAAGCTAGTACACATGAAAAACATATCAATGTTCTAATAAAATCTGTAGCCACATCTATTCTTGGGATTTGCAATAGTCCTTCACCCAGAATTAAATATTTGTAAGAACACTTCTTGATCTGGTTTACATGTAAGCTTTTAATGATGCCAAGGAGTCTAAATCACCTGAAAGTCTGTTGTCTAACAAAATTTGAGTGTCTGACCTTGTGTCAACCTGAAGTTGGTGGACTGTGCAATCAGTTTATACCTTCATGGACATTTTGGGGTCCTCTCTACTGTCTTTTATTTCCAGTTCTAGTCTGATGTAAGATTGCGGAAAGTGGAAGTTCAGGCAAAGGTAGATTCTTGCAGAGAGTACATAATAGCTTCTTTAATAAGTAGCAGCCCATCAAGAGTGTTGAAACAAACACATTCACCAAGGAGATGTGTTCAATCCTGCTGTTATTCCAAGTGCACTTATAAGGATTAAAAAATGTATTTGATGATGCACGTTTTCCCTGGTTTTGGTGTTTTGTTTTGTTTTGTTTTTTTAATGTATAATGCATTTAAGACATCCTCAGCACCTGTGTGAGAAATGTGGACATTGAAAAAGTATTTAATGAGCATTGGCAGTTGTCTTAAGTCCAAGGACCGTTTCTCGACAACTCTTCTGCAGTAATTGCCATCCAGAGGCTACACTGACGGAGCTGGCTCTGAAAAAGGACTGCGCCAATAGGCTCTGATGTGTTTCGCTCGACAAGGGAATTACAGAATGTGATTTTGCTTCTTGTGTGATATTTTTTCTTCTCTCCATCATGCAGAAGCTTAAATACAAGGAGTCATCACCGTCTAGGTGAAACACAAAAGGGGGCTATTTCCCACAGAACAGAGCCAAGCAGAAGAGCTTCTGAAGAGGAACAGAGAGCTGGTTGCTCTAGAGTTAAATGGACAGTTTTTCTCCAAGGACCAAGGAAAAGGAAATCCCACAGAAGAATCTTATTTATTTTCCAGGCTTTTGCGTAGGTTTCAGGAATGGCTCTGGTATGAGTCAGCTGACCAAATAAGTCCACTCTGCCCGCTCATTTTCCAGCTTCGTTTTCTGTTCTTTTAAAATGACTTTTTTCTCTGTCATATACCAATACTCTAAAGGGCTGTTCCTTAAAATGGGAACTGCAGAAAATGGAAAGGCTCTCCAGTGAAAGCCCTTCTTCCTAATATTTTTTTAATCTAGATTTTTAATGGAAACTTCTAATTCTCTGTACTTTGTAGTTTAAAAGTTCATTAAGATATTTAATAAAAATTCCATCCTTAGAAAATGTGAAATATGGCCTATACACTGAATCCCACAAGTGGTTTCTTAATTGATGATTGAAATGTCTGCAAATT